GTATTATACTGCATTTTATAATAACCTAGCATAGTACTTTATGAAACATGCCTTATTACTGTGCATTTTATACTGTTATACAAATAATACACAGCTTCATTATTTCATTTTTATTTTAACATAAGTCTGAATATAAAAGTGTGTATTGGTTCAATAATGCCACTGTCATGAACAAAGTGACTTGTTATTTTGCATAAAATGCAAAACTATTAACACAAACAGATTAATTTTTTTTGTTTTTTTACCCAAAGTGTTTGTGAATCTTCAAGCCATCTGTCAATAGCACTAGGCCTACTTCTATTTATGACTTAATGAGACTCTTGACTAGCACACACATGATCTATCCTTGGATGGATGGAGGTTGTAAGGCAGAGGGTCAGATCATCCTCAGGTAGCAGTCTTGACCTGCATTTGGTTTTCCAGGTGTCAATGAGATAAATCCTCTTTCACTAAAGTAAGTTATTGCAAAGGGGAAAAGGCTCAAGTCTTTCTGGCAAGAGATCCAGAAGGAGGTGAGTGGTTTAGTATCATATACATTTTTGAATGTGCTGTCAGTGGATAGTTCGATGAGCTGGTCCTCCTCCGTCACAATCAGATGTGCGCCTTCTGCTGCTGTGTCTCTGAATGGAAACTATCTCGTTTGTGCGCCAGGACTCAGCTTTAGAAAAGCAGTTCCTAAACTGACAATCAATCGCCTCCAAGTGCGCAACAACCGTGTGGGTTACAGGAAGGGGAAGCGCTGCAGAATTGAAAACAGCTGAATGGTGTACGTATTTTGACCTTGCATACAAGCGTTCAGTTGGTTTAGCTCAGCAAAAATGTCATTCAGATATCCAAGTTTGATGACCCAGACATCATCACTTGAACAGGGCTGCCAGCTCTGTGCACTTTTGGATAATCAAAACTCCTGAAAAACGTGCGTAATTCCAACACACGTGATAAGACTGTTACACGTGACAGAACGTCTGAATGGTACAACAGCGTGGTGCGTGCCTATTCCTCAGCAGCGCACAAGTTAGAAGAGAGACGTGTTTGCAGAGCACTCTTTTTGACCACATTGATAGCTTTCACGACTGAATCCACGACACCTGACAATTCATTAATATCTGTTGACCTTGGAAGTATTTGAGACAAGTTTTTCAGTATTCAACAGGTTTGTCCTTTAAATGGCTGTGGGTTGTTTCCAAGTGACGCTGCAGCTTTGACGGCTTCATAATTTGTTTGCCAGTGCAGCAGAGCAAATTATACACACGGATAATTCTACACCATCTGCATCTTTGAAACTAAATCCAAACTTCAGATGATTTTCTGAATATTTTCAGGTCCTCTCATGCCTGTGTTTACCCTTATCAGCAGCAGGTGCTGACTCCACACTTGCTTTTTCCACTTCTGGTTTCTGAGGGTTAGTCTCTTTTGACCTTGTGGAGTCTTTTGGTTACAAAACAATTATTTTTTTGATTATTCCACTTAGAGTAATAATATACTGATATTAGTTATTGATTGTTATCATCAGGAGCTGCAGTGCTGTAGAAATATTACAAAAATTACAGCACTAAGAGGCTCTCAGCCAATAACTGTGAACCTGACAGAGTGAACATGCCAGGCCACATGACCTGCTTCTCTTTGTGTGCAGGATTCATGGAGGGTCAGGCAGTGAGTGAAGCAGAGTTCAGCTGATGTTCTCACTGAATGTGTGCACTTCTGGCTCAAATACATCATTCTATGCCTCCATTTATCTATTTGCTAATACATGTTGGATTCATGTTAATGTGCATTTAAAGATATAACTTTGAAATAAAATAAGTGTATTAAAAAAACAAGACAAAAAATGTTAAGACCCTCCGCAGTACCCCTACAGACCCACTAGGGGTCGCGGCCCCATCGTTTGTCCTCTGCTCTAGTCAATTAAACAATTTCACTTATCCCAACCTATTTTTGACAACATTTCAAATAATGTAAATAATTTCAAATGCTTTAAAACAAGTTGTAGATAACTCCTGACTGAGACTGCAGGATGTGTTCAACAAGCTTTTGCTTGTAGCATACCTGTGATGGATTTCGTGTATGGCTGCAGAAGAACTTCTCTAGGACGGGGTTTTGTTCTGCCGTGAAACGTACTTTGTCCTTGATCCCCCAGGCATTAGCCAGGGGCATGGCCAAGTACCTGAAAAACACACAAAGCTCTGTAACCTCCTTCCCAACATGATAATCAGTAATCTTTGAACTTTCCTAATATTCCTTGTGCAACATGAGCTCTGTGCTCCGAAACCATGGATTGCACAGCTAAACTCTCTGCCTTCCAGGCACATTCACGGACAGAGTATGAATTCTTGCCTCTCAAACAGGTATCTGACCAGAAGCAGGCAGAGGGCGCAGGGCAGAGCAGCGTACAGTTGGGAGGCTTGAGCATAGACACGGCCATCGTTGTCCTCTAGGTCTGACCAGGAGATGCCTTCAGGCAGCCACAAACTTTCCCACCACAGCCACTCGCCGACTGTCTGCAACATGGCACTAAAATAAGAAAATATTCAGCTTTAAAAACTAAATTCCAACAAGTTCAGCATCCATGGGTTTCAGTCAATTTAAATGCAATTTAAGCATTTTAAGAATGGATTATTGGTCAGTAGACACTAAATTAACTACATTTAATTTGTTTAAAACCTCCATTTCAGCTTAAATATATACAATTACTGTGTTTAAATGGGTGTTTCCTCTGTCCATTCCAGATAATCAGTATTTTTCTGCAGTTTACCTTCTCTAGTGTAATTCTTTTACAATGACAGATTTGTAAACCAAAGCAAAGATTGTAGCCAAAAGTCAAAAGTACAATATGTATTTAAAATTAAACACAAAATAGTGAGATATTCATCCGTGATAAATTCAATTAGAAAATAGCAGAACAGTTCTCATTTTATTTGAAAAATTCTAGTAGTTTACACTTAGTCAAACTCATTCAAATAAAATTTCATCTTAGCTTTGTATAAATCTTAAATACTGATTAAAACTAAACTGCAGAAACCATGAAAGGACAGGAAAAATAAAGAAATGAGGGACAATTTGTTCAAAGTGACAGATTAAAGAGAAGTAAAGTCCTTCCTCTTATGAACTCTGCCCATTAATTCAGATCAAACATGCTGCTTGAACACTGAGAAAACAAGCTTAATATGAATTCAGAGCTGTTTGAATAAATAAAGATGACAAGTTTCTTAGTCAAATTTACTTACGGAGAGCCTATAAGTCATCAAACTGTTCCTGAACCTCAAAGGCAGGTAGTAAATAAGCAATGCGAAAGGCAAACATACCTTCAGGCAGTGTTGTCTTAAGTTCCAACAAAGGAGAAAGAAGCTGAAGCAGAGACAGGATGTGTGTGTGAGTGGAAATCTTCAAATGAAATTATGGCATTCTTCAATGCAAGCCAGTTAAATACATCAGTGGCAGAAAAAAAATGTACAGGTCATAATCAGACTTAAACATTAACTTTCTCACCCTTGGTGCGCCCCGTGCAGATATTTGTTGTTTTCCTGGTATTTGCCCAAGGACAGCACATTTGTTACTCATACAGCCCACTTCACTTAATCACACCAGATAATAGGTCAGTCATATCCTAAGCACTCAGATCAATTTACTTTCCTTGCTTTAATGAAGCCACTCTTTAAAAACACGAGAACTCAAACAGTACAGTGTGTCTGAAAAGACTGCAGCAGTCATGTTAAATTTAAGCCTCACGTGTGGTCGCTCACCTGGTTAGAAAGTCTCGGATCTTTCCCTCCCACCTGTTCTGCTCCTCTTGTGATCACACCCTTGTAGTTGCTGCAAGTCTCTCATAATTATGAAATTAAAACAACTAGCTGCTCTTGGACAAATGTGTATCTTTTTTTGTTGAAAAGCACCTGCTCCAGTTGTCATCAGTGTGGGACTGTTGGCCCACCCTCACCTGCAAAACCTTCCTTCTGGAATAGAGAAAAGTCCCCACAAAGGCCCTATTCACTGGTGGAGCAGCGGAGGAGGAGGAGCCAAGCAAGAAAGAGGAACTCTCACACAAAGACAGTGAAATCTCACTCTGCAGAGATAGCTACCTGAGTTCATAACAAACATCAGGGTAGAGAAAGTCTGGGGCAAGCCATTTTGTGTACGGAAAACAATAAGGACAAAAACCTTGAGATAATACTGGAAAAGGTTAAACATTTAAAGTTTATGAAGGACATTAAAACAAAGCAACACATGAGCAAGAGTATTAAAGAACAAAACACTGAATCAAGCTTCTTTGTTAAAGGGTGCACCACAGGGCAACAGAAACCACAAATCAGGTGTTCAGTCCGAGCTTAAATGTGCCAACATCTGAGTTAATGTTGTACTTTTCTACTTTTTTCAGCTTTGTTCAGTTCACAGACTCTAAAGAACCTCTGAACAAGACAACTTGCATAAACTTATAGATGTGAGATTATTGAACAGTAGTCCCTCGCTACTTCGTGGTTCGTTTTTTGTGGATTCGCTATATTACGGTTTTTCAAAGTAAGATTGGACATGACACAATTGGCTGATTGATGAATGAACCATGGATTGTTTATTTGAAATAAATTATTTTAAATGTTTTTGCACCATGTGTGCAGCCCACAAGTGCTGGGGGAAGCTCCCTCCTGTAGCCTGTCAGGATCTTCGCTCTCTGAAACACACATGTTTCTCCTGCTGCAGCTTTGTGAAGGATTAACCCTTTGATGTCCTGCTGCGCTTCTCTTCTCTACAATTTAATTTAATTTCATTTAAATATTACAGTATTTAAATTTAAAATTGTTTATCTAAGGAGGGAGATTGGGAGTAACAGGTGATCAGTGTGATTACAGTCTGGCACGTCATGACAAAGTTTACTGTACTTGAACTTGAACTACTATATTCATACTTCGTAGTTTTTCACTTATCGTGAAAGCACATGGGGGGGGGGGGCAGGGTAGGGAACACCCGCGATAAATGAGGGACTACCATAATCCCATACAAAGAACAACAAAATTAGAAGCTAAATCCTGGTTTTTCAGGTTGGCAAAAAAAAGTAAAACTTTTGAAAAATGCAAACGAACATCAGCGAAACTTGAACAAACTTCTAAGATGAATCAGTAAAGCTGCAAGCCTAACTATGATCCTGGACAATGATGTGGACATCATCACTTTACATCGGTCAACACTGCTGCAAGTGTGAGAATAGTAACAAACAAAAAGAGGAGGAAATAACAGAAAAACAGAGACTAAAAGAGCTGGCAGAGGGCACAACAAATCAACACACACACAAATAATGAAAATACCCCAAATGATAATAAAATAAAGTCCAAGTGGGGTCTTCATGGCAAAGAGAGTTCTGAGCAACTTGTCTCTGAACTGTTCAGTCCTAAAACAATAGATAGTATAAATTATATATTTGTTTAAAAAAGAAAGACCTATTTAAATCAGAATGGTCTCTCTTTATAGTAAATGCAAGTAAAGCGGACAGCAGGAGATGCTGGCCCAAACGTGAGAGGCTAACCTTGATAGTCCTCCCCCTCCCTCTGTCTCTTGGTCTCCTGCTCTCCTCATACCGGTGTGTTTTTGTGCTTCAGTTCACTCGAGGAGGGTGGGATGCCTTCAAGCTTTGTGCAGCTAGTAGAATGGCTAGGCCTTGTTGGCTCCTCAGTGTCAGGTGCTCTCTGTCGTGGAGGCAAGGTGGAGCATCGGGTTTTCCCCCTGGAACGTGGCAACTGAGGTGGAGGGCCTTTCAGCACAAATAGTTCAGTTGAGGCTTGGAGCTGTTGGGACACTCGTGGTTTTGGAGATGATGGTAGCACAAGGGTCTGCAGGGGAGATGATGATTGGTTTGATGTGGATTGTGAACAGGCCAAAGGAACGAGGGGAGTAAGCATGCCCTGCTGCTGAAGCTTGGTAAGGCTGGTGGAGAGGCTGGGCCGCGGCAGGCTGTAACAAGACTCGGTCCCTCTGTATTTGGAAGGAAGTGTGGAGCAGCGAGACTTTACCCTAGAGTCTGGCTCTCTGGGAGGAGGAGCACTTAGTGAGAACATCCTAGTGTCAACATATGATGATGTAATGTCTGCCTTGGAGCCCTTGAGGCTCTGGACTGAACCTTTTTTTGACCAAGGATTTGAAAAAGTTTTCCTCTCTTTCTTATATTCTTGAGTGGAGTCTGAGCAGGGAAGCTCAACGGCTACAGATGTACTTGATAAGTGATCTTCTTCTAGAAGAAAAATAAAAGAAAGGAATCAAAAGACACCAACAAAAACTTAGTTCATGTAAAATAGGAGTAAAGCTCTTAAAAATGGAGATGGCGTTGAAAATTGCACTATATTTACAGGTGGAAGTTATATTCTATATTTGATGCATCATGATGTGGGCATAAATAATTCTGAATCAATTGAAAAATGTCAAAATAATGTTTTATTGCTGCAAAAGTAGAACTCTGTATTGTGAAAATGCAGTAACTGGACTGTCATGGTGTGGGAGAACAAAGCTGACTGAAACGTACAGACAGCTCATTTTACTTTGAGAACCAGTGTTTTGAACTACAGTAATCCCTCAATATTTTGCTTTTTGACTTTTGCGGTCTCGCTCTTTTGCGGGTTTCAACGTAAGATTGTACACGACACACAATTGGCTGATTGATGCAAGGCAACCAACCAGAGTGTTGTGCTGAGGGGTGGACTGGCCATCGGGAGCAGCGGGACATTTCCTGGTGGCCTGGCCCGCTCAGTGATCGCCGAGAGGGACTAAAGGCTTGGTTCGGGTTCCACTTGATTATTTTAAATAAACAATCCATGCCGCTCACTCAGGTGTAAGACAGAACCCTCACCCCCTCCTTTCTTTTTCTGGGCAGACAGCCTCAGAAAAAGAAAGGAGGGGGTGGGGGTCTGTCTTATACCCGAGTGAGCTGCACAAGTGGCATAGATTTTTTATTTAAAATAATCAAGCGCAACCCGAACCAAGCTTTTAGTCCACCTCAATGATCACTGAGGAAATATCCCGGTGCTCCTGATGGCTAGTCCGCCCCTGGATGCTGATTGGCTCAGTAACCGTAGTATCAGTCTGTCTGCTCTCTTTCACTGTGCTCTTTTAGAGCATTTAGAGAGCTTAGAACATTGTTATAACATTGCACAAGTGTGGGAAGGGTTTATAAAGCCTTAAACTACATATAAATACTGAAATAAATATAACATCCCTACTTTGTGGATTTTCACCTATCACGAGGGTCTCTGGAATGTAACCACCACGATAAGTGAGTGACTACTGTATTTTGGCTTCTATGAAGCTAAAGAGAAAAATGATGTTGACAAGAGCCACACTATATGAAGGTTGTGTACATGTTTCCACTTGAAGCAAAAACAGCCAGGGGTAGCTGTCGCTGCTAACAAAAGATAATCAAGAGAGTAACCCCAAAAGTTTTCACCCAACTAAAAAAAGGCTAAGCAAATTACAAAGTCTGCAAATGATCTTCAGTGGTTGAAGATCAGGACTTGTGTGCCATGTTTCTTAATTAAAAACCACAATAGAAAATGATCCCATGTTGAAGATACTAACAGTCATTCTCACACTCTACAAGACAAGCATCATGGGAACACTAGAAAATGGGTGAAGTAAGAACATCCATCGTCAGACTATTATGTATCTGACTGCACTCACCACTTTGACTCTTTGTTCATTTAATTTCCAAAATCATGTTGGAATAAAAATTGTTTAATACCGTCATGTATAACAAAATATATATATTTTTTCTTATAAGTATGAGAGATTCTATGCTCAGGATTTAGTTTGAACTGTGATAAAAAAAAAAAAAAAATCATCTAACCTTTTGCCCCCCTCACCCCAATTATAATCAAATTGTGAGATGCCTAAAGATTTCCACCCCCAAGTTATGTTGTAATAAAAATTTTAGTCTTACCCAACAAGCCCAGTTTGCGCATGAAGGAGTCCAGATCTACAGTAGCAGTCTCCCCCGTTTCATTTTCATCCTCTTCATTTTCACCTCCATGTGTTTGTCCCTCTTGCTCCTCTTTCTCTTCTTCATTGCTCCTTTTTTCATACTCTTCTTTTACATCTTCGTGGTCATTTCCTTCCCCCTCACTAACTTCAACTTTTTGCTCTTCTTGGCTTTCATCTTCAACTTCTTTTAATAACTTCCCATCTTCTGCATTACTTTCATTAGACCCTGTGGGTTCATCGAGATTAATCTCAACCTTCACTTCTTCCTCTTCATTCTCCACTTGGCACATGTCATCTTCTTCTGGTGCAACATCCACTACAATATCTATGTTGGCAGGGAAGCAGGGGACCGGGCGTTCTGCGGAGTGAGTTTTGGCACATGCTTCTTTGTCGTGATCAAGCAGGAACTCCATCAATGCCATGTTCTCTTTCTTCAGCTGTTCCCGCAGAGAACGTGGTACATCTGGGATCATCCACGCAACCAACATGCTGAGGAACATGGCGAGGTTCTGTCGGAAAAAAATACAAGATGGATCTTTTTTCCTTTGCTAAAAAAACAACAGTAATTTCCGTGAATGCTATGCATTTATTAACCTGTAATCAAACCAGTCTGTTCCAGCAGATGCAGATGAGCTGGACTGGTGCACATTAACTCTGAGGAAAACCTTTCATATGGACAACAATTGGTGCTGAACTCCACCAATCAGGTCCTTGTTGCAAAGTGGTCGGATAGAAGATAAACCTCACTAAAAGGCACATGTTGGGACTTTGCCAAAAGGAATTTGAATTACTCTTTGACCTTGCGCGGCATAATCCTTTGACTTGATCTAATCTACCTGAACAAAGATTGAACTCTGGCTACAATTCAAAACAGTGTGTTTACAGGAAACGGAGATCTGATCAACATCACAGTCACATATAGTGTTGCAGCGTCGTCTACTGGGGATAACTTGACCAAAAAGGACTGGTAAAGAAAATATTTTCCAAAGTAACAAGTGTCTTTGGCTGGAGTGAGGCATCATAATAATTTGAAGCATGCAGACCCCGAGTGACTCTGCCAGATTCTGGCTCTGAACTCAGTAGGGCATCTCCGAAAAGTCCTGATAATTAGCTGTGCACTGATACTCTCCTTCCAGCCTGGTTAAGCTCATATCTCTGCCAAGAAGACCATGATCTCTTCAAGGAAAGGTGCCAAACTTACAAGATCATTTTCCAGACCGGAAGCTGCCTTCTTGCCAGAAGCACTTGACTCCTTCAGTTGTTAGATGTCTCAATAAATTGGCAGTTTTAGGTTTTTAAGTACCACTTTACTAACGTCATTAAATTAATAACCATCTATTTATTAATGCTTTATAAAAGGTCCAGTATTTATTCATTAAAATGGTTTGATAGTTATAATGTAACATTTATTAATTGTTTACTTGTCCATTATAAGGGTTTAATATTTATGAAAAATTTATTTTTCTTAGGATGGATTTATCCTTTATAAAGTTTTATTAGTTTTATCTTAGACAATCAATAATAGTCCTTTATTAATAATTTTAGAAGATTTGTTCATCTGATTAGGTTTATTTTTATTAAAGAAGATTTGTAAATTTGTTCTCAAATAAATGTATTCAAGAAATATTAAGTTAATTTTATTTGCTAGTTAATAATCCTTCAGGATGTATTGATTTTTTAAAAATTTTACTATAAGTGTCTTTATCCTTTATTTAGTGATAAGTCTTATTTTAACCCTCCTGTTGCCCTTGGGTCAAAATGACCTACAATGTCTCGCAGATTAAATAAATTACACGACATTAAAACTGATTTGCTTAGCCACCGAGAAATAGTTTAATAGTACACGAAAAACTGAAAGCTGAAAAAGTTTTATGATTTAAATTTCGGTGTGTGTGTGTGTGTGTGTGTGTGGGGGGGGGGGGAATTAGAAGTCAGACACCACTTTTAAAAACAGGCATAAAAATACCATCTGTTGCAAATATGTTTGATACCTGGAAGAAGATTACAAAGGCCAGTCTGGCAGCGAGCACAGACCAGTACCGTTTGGAGAAGGTGTAGGCATCTTGTCCCCACGGTGGATCTCTGTAGTCCTTATATCTAAAAAACACAGAGACTGAGAGGATAAACAAAAAGCAATCTTGATCAGCATGACTGAATGTAGGGTAAAAAAAAAAAAATCTGCTGATGCAAAAAGTAGTATCTGACTGCGCTGCAACTGATGGTGACTGCAGAACGACATTAACAAGAGAATCTCCAACTGTGTCAATGCCAATTTATTTATACAGCACATAAAAACAACAACAACAGCTGACCAAAGTGCTTCGCAGTTAAGACGGATAAAAAAATAAAAAGTACATCTAGTGCCACAACATGATTTAGGATCTCAATTTCCTCACAAAATGTCTCTGAGTTGTTGTGGGCTCATAAAGCCAACTTACTATAGCTTCTGTAAATTATAAAGAGCTTGAGCTGTATTTTGACACCTGCTTATGACAGGAAACATCAGAGACAGCAGCCCTAAATGTTCAGGTCTAAAATCCAGGCCGATGCTATTTATATAATAAAAGTGGCCCATATCGGTCTCCATTTAATTCAAAAGTTTACTCCAGTAAAATAAATTATAAGCTTTGAGGCAGCTGCCAAGGTGGGTGCAAAGCAGGCTGAGGCGGGTGTGATGTGAGCGAAACAAAATAATGTGTGCCACCTAAAATACAGTTTTACAAGCCATGCACCTGACAAGCTATGATTTTCAAAACTGGCCACTCAGTGCATGTCCACAAAGCTGGTCAGAATTTAGTGAAATTGCAATTTTAACCAATTTTCCTCAATCTCGAGTCACCAACTAGACTCAAACAGTCGCATCACAGTAAGATACTATCTTGAGATTCGTCCTCAGTAAGACGCTGCAATCCATGCCATTTTTTGCTGTAAACGTGGCGTTAAGCTGATGGCTAAAAGAATTAAAGGAAGGTCGAGGTAAGTCAAGGGTAGGAGAATCACTCTGACCTGCACATGGTGACACCGGTGATGAGTGTGGTGTTTGGTGCTGTGCCAAGAGGAAAGTTGCTGACATTGAAGTAGGACAGCGAGTGCTCCGTATAGCCACTCATGGTGCCGTTTACACTGTACATGTACTGGTAAATCATTCGAGGAACAAACTCCGATGTGAAGGAGATGACAAATGCCTGAAACATAAATACGAGTTAAAACGTCATCACTTTTATGATAACATATATAAGTTACTGCTGACACATCGTCAGTCTATCAAACTGCAATGCCTCAAAACTTTCTTCACACAACAGATTTAGGATGAGTCATAACACTGACTGACTAACCATTATTAAGTGTTGTAAAGTTAATTTCCTGCTAGTCACTTTTTGTGACATCTGGCCACAAAGAGATGTAGAACTGTAATATTAATGGTCAGAAGAAAAAAAATGTCTAAAGATCTATGACAAATTAAGAGAAATTAACCTTATGACGCAGACTAAAAACATATCAGTAAAACGCTTGATGTCAGTATAAGACAGTTTGAACCGAAGGATGGCTAGTGAGGGAGCGAGCAGCGTGTCTCTAAGAAAAATAAGAGGGAGGCCCTGGACGTGACATGGGCTGTCTCTCGTTCTTTTTTGTTCAGTTCTGAAAATGGCAGACGCTCGGTTTGGTTTGAGCTCTTTAGCATTTTTCACACAAAGCTTTTAATTAAAAAAAAAATCAGTAAACAAGTTCTCAGCTTCTTTTTGCAGAGAAAAACAACTGTTTGGACGAAGGCACAGGTTTCAACTGTGAATTTTGGAGCTTTGACAAGACGGGAGGTTTGTTTCCAGAGGTCACCCTGTTAGCTTAGCTTGTAGCTTAGCTTCTCAGCTTAGCTGCTTTTAACGATCCAAAAATGCGATTTTAGACAGTTAAAATTGATTTTAAAGAGAAAAGAAAAAGGGAGTGAAGAGCACCGGAGTTGAGCTTTTTGTCATCCAGTGTCTTCAGTAGAAAGAGAGAGACACGAAGAAACAATAAAGCCAATAAATGAAAACGAGGTAGATAATTTTCATTTATCATGCGATTAATTGATTTGTTTATCGCAACAGGCCTAATGTAAGAAACATTTTTTATTCTGTAATTGATATATATTTGGATGTAAATTAGTCTCCAATACATCAAAAACAAATGTTTCTTTTTTGGGTACTGCAATGATTTAAAATGCAGTACAGACAGCAGTTTACATTTCAAGTTTAAAACAAGAGGTTCACCAAAGTCCCACTTCACTGAGAGGGATTTGAATAGTGAATGTTTCTAGTTTTCAAGATGAGTTTTTCCAAGTTTTTTTCTGGACTAGAATTTAACAAGTAAAGAATAATGTTTATGGTGCAAAATATTCAAGTGAGTACGGGATACACTGTGTATAGGAACAGAAGTAATTAATTATTTTTTCTTGTCCCAGGCAGCGCAGAGTGATGTATTCTGATGGGTGGAGGGAGCAATTTTATCTACAACCAGGCATAATGGTGGAGCCAGGGGGTGGCCAATGGTGGCCTTGGACCCATTCAAGTTAAGAAGCTCACATGAACTGACGTACAGAAGGTATTTCCAATTCCCCCAATGTCAGTGAATGCAGCTTTTAAGAAAGTCTAAACAAGAACTGATAAAATGTTGGCCTTTAAAACAGACAATACAATAAAACAGGGTTTTGTATGATTAAATATGTTCCAGAGGTCTTATAAGTGTGGCTGGTGTATTATCTGCTTAGTAACACAGTGTTTGTCTGTGGTGTTTTAGTAACCAAGTAAATAGATTGTATCAATAAGACTGTGCCTTTAAAAACTGAGCATTACTAGCTACCCACGGACAAACTACAAATGATGTACAATAAGAATTGTATACCTGGATTATTGAGCATGGACTTTGTTGTTACAATGAAAATTGTGTTTTTTAGCTCACTTGTAGACAAAAAAAGGTGTAAAAGAGACACACAAACACTTACATTGGTAATGACAGAGAACTTGCTGATTCCACAAAGAATGTTGAACCAAATCCCTGAAGACAGCATGAACAAAGAGACAAACGGGGGAAAGGGAAAAAAGTGTCCGTCCACGTTTTGGGTGAACATTTGTGTAAAGGAAAGGAGATGGAAATTCAGAGTGGAAAATGATAGTGATGAAGGATTTTTCACACCTAATATAAAGACTGAAAGAGAAGTCATCTGTACCTATATCTTTACACCTCACAGCGTCCGGTCGCCGGATCTCAGTGACAAATTTTGCAGCATCGAGGCGGATCTCAATAATGTTGTTGAGTAAAGCAAATGCAGGTGCCAGCGGGAGGGAAGCCACAAAAAGTGTCACAAATCCGTACTGGATTACTGTAATAAGATAATATACATAATATTATATTGTGCCGTTGCAGTGCTGAGTGAGTCAATGCATAGAAAGAGTAAGAGACTAAATGAGACTCACTCATTTCCATGTACTCCGGGCTAACGCCCTCAAATGGTTCAAGGGTGAAGTCTTTGTCAAATTGTTGCCTTGGTCTTTTCTCCTCTTGCTCATTCTCTTTATCTTCTGCAGCTCTTTTATTCCCCTTTTCTTCTTGTATTGTTCTGTACATCTTTTTCAGCTTACTGCAGAAAGTAAAAAAAAAAATTTTACAAAAACTAAACAGACAAAAAAGCAGCAGGGCAAAAGTATAACTTTTACAACACAGTTCTGATTCTGCAAAAGTCTGGATGCTATGAAAGAGCAAAATAAAAAGTATTTTTTAATATAAAAAAAATGCTTAAGGAATTATAATAATATATACATACGGTATGAGAATTTCAAACACATTGTTTTGAATGAGCTGCTTTCCAAGCATGATCATGCTGAGTTGGATGCAAAGCTCAATGAGGCAGCCTGGAGGAGCGCACTGTGGATCATTAAACAAGTCTTTAGGGTTCCTAACCGTTTCATTAGAACATTAATGTATTACATCTTAATAATAATAAAGCTGCACAGACCTCCTCCATACGATAGTCTCCAAACATGTAAACATAATCACCAGGTCGCCCTGCAAACCTGTAAGAAGAGAGGACTAAGTCGCATAAAACAGACTGGATTTTTGTCTTTGAGGGATGAAAAGTGTAACCCACCTGCCCTTGAAGAAGGCAACATAAAAAATAGGTGCAAAGGCATTCATGGATTTGAGGAAAAATGACTTAAAGATTAACCTCTCCTCAAACTCCTCCTCTGTTTTTGGAAGTTCTGTTGAAAAGTAAACAAAGCAGTAAACACATCAACAGAGAACATTAATTTGGCATTTAATGAGTAACAGTAAGTCTCATACTGGATTCACAAGAGTAGTTTAATGAAATTTGTTCGTTCTGATCCTAAAAACTGAAAAAACATTTAATGAATGTTTTATGAATATATATGTAATATATATTTATAGTCTAATCTAGCATAAAATGTTTTTTAGTTCAACATATTTGTAATATATGTTTATTGCATAAAATGTCACTTTAATCTATTATGAAAATGGTTAAATATATTTTTTTGGTTTCATTGCATGTAATACATTCATTTAACTTTCATTTCATTAATCCCTTCTGTCTGTTTCAACATATTTTATGTCTTACAGGACAGGACAGGATTAACTCCCTCCCACCCCAAAATAAACCCACTGTGAATAATTAACATTTCATAATTAATACTCGACTGCACCTATATTTAATACATTACCAAGTTCAGTCAACCAGACAGCGATTGCACCATAGATCTCCTCTAACACCAGAACAACCAGCATGTTGAGAACGATGCCTGTGGTGATGACCGTCATCCTGACTCGGGCCTTGGCTTCAGGATCAGGGTTCATGGACCACACACTTAACATGCAGATACGGTAAACTACCACCCCAAACACTGCCGAGAAGGTTACAAACATCTGAAAACACACAAACCAAATGCACACAAAGAAAAGTCATGATACAAAATTAAGAAGGTATGATTTGTATTTTTAGTTTTTACAGACTTTTGTTTGTTTAATGATATTTTATTGCAGTGAACAGCTTGATGACCTAAAATCAATTGTTTTGACACTAAACTGATCCGATAAGTGAATGAATTTGGAGAAAACTGAAATTTGATGTCAAATTAAAGATTAGAAAAAGATGAAATACAGTTTATTTCTATTAAATACCTCTTAGATGATCAAAAGAATAACAATAATGACCCTTCCGCCTTGCTGATCCTCAAGTTTATCAAATAATTAGCCAGCAATGACAAATTAATACATAAGAAAACAAAGAGTCTGAATGCAGTACCAGCAGTAGAATGGTGGACACATTGATGAGGAAACCAGGCAGGTGATCCTCAGTGTCCAGCGACTCAGGTTCTTGCTGTCAAGACAAACATGGATAAAATTTAATCACAAATGTGTACTTCATGGTGTATTACAGTGGAGTAACTGTAGTAGGGAACACATGTTCTGCACATAAACACATGTGTGGTGGAAGGAGCATGATGGAGCATCTGAAAGGACATAAACCTCCTTCCCTTTATGTCTCCAACAGTAATCTGGGCTAATCTCAGGCTGGTAAGCTGCTCTGGACTCAACCATAGACTGTAGGGAAGGAGGGGGTCATACAAATATAACCTCATAACTGCAGAATTATTCCATAACTTTTTGTACTAACAGCTTATGAGAACTGTATTTTCTTTTAAAGAAAAATAGGTTAATTTTAAGATAAGAACAGTCCATATAGAGGTGTATTTGTGTGCTTCCACAGCAGGTTTATCCACTTAGTGTGTGCTCAGTGATACCTGTGAGGCCAGCATCTGATCAGTCTCTCCATCTACGCCTTCTTCAGCTTGAGTCAGCTAAAACAGGACGTAAAAACAGCATGATTAATAATACAAGTTGTGTTACAAATATTATAATTAAAATGCAAAAATGCAAATAAATTACCTTCTTTGTAGCTTGTGCTTTCATCTTAGCTTTTTTCACCTGAAGAGCTTCTTCATATTCAGGCCTTAGTTCATCCTGCAGAGTATGCAAAAACACACAATGAATATTTGCACCAGAAACAAAAACCCTTAAATCATATGACTATGTAAGATTTTTGTACGTATTTAAAATTTCACGTTATTTGTGGTTGAGATCGTAAATCAAAATTTAAAAAAAAAAATGCTTCATTCTCATAAATTACCAAAAGTATCAGTTTAAAATTTAAATAATTTTATTATGAATATGCTGATAGGAGTTTGTGTTTCAAAAGCACCAGAATTTCAAAATGTATTACTTTTAAAATTTAAACCATTTCATGTTTTTTTAAGAGTGTGCATTAAACTAGTAAAACATTTCCTACCTGAACCCGCTCCTACAGGCAGTAGAGACAAAGAGACATGAAAAGAAAGAAAAAGAAAGAACAGCTTTGTAACTTTGTGTGTTGTGACCCTGCTGGGTCATCTGGTCACCCCGTTTGTCACTGCTACCAGTCTTTAGCCATCTGATCCAAATTCAAATTCAATGCTTTCACTCAAATCACGTTTAAAGGTGGTTTGGACCTCTTGTTTCCACATATGCTTGAGTCTGAACAACAGTCTGTCCTAATCCCCAAAGTAGCCTTCCCACGCTAATATTTTGTCTCTGGAAAACTTGATTCACTTCTGGGTCACACAGTCATGTAACTTACAACATACGCTTATTCCTTTTACAAAAATATAAAACAATATAAACTCTTCAAACAAATTGTTTAATAACCGAAATGCATCTGTAGACAATAATAAAGTCCAAAAGGAAAAATTAATCATGTTCACATAAAAAAATAGGGCTCTGAAGAGTTCCTGGAAACATAAACAAAAACTCTGCCACTGTCCCATTAAATATTTTGAATATGCAACTCTGCAGGGCAAATACTGATCAGAAAATGTCAATGTACATTAAATATGGGTGTAGTTTTTCCTCATTCCAAAGATGTTTTCAACCCAATGAATAGATTTATTTTGGCTTGAATTAATTCTGTAGTCACTTAATAACTGTCACTGATATTTAGCAGCTTTATAAGAATTTAAGGGATTTATTTATTGAACATGTCGTCTGTTTGTTAACATGGTGTATTGATTTAGAGCTTTAATCAGCCATGTTGCTTTTTTGTGGAATCTGGACATAAATTATGAGTTACTGAAATAATTTAACAAGATCTATTCTAAGGACCTCTTAATGAACTAAGGTGACCCTATACTGATGCAGGTCTCAAGGTAAAAATCAAGTCTGCTCAGCTGCTGGCTGATAATTAAACATCAATCCATGGGAATATTTTGAAGATAAGTTTAAAGGAAGCAGAATCACAGATCCTCATAATTTTACTAAAGTTTTAATATACCGTTTAAAAAATCCGTAACACAATGGTTCATTTTATCAGGAATTTATTAATCAAAGTGTATTATTGCATGGGTGAATTTACCTGGTTTAATGTTTATTTTAATTGCTTTAGATATGAGGTGCTTTTAATCACAGAACAACATCACATTATAATCACCTAATTAAACAGAGCTGTTATGTTTATAGTGAAGTTGTGTAAAACAGCTGACGGCTGCCAGCACACTGAATGTGCTGTGGTAGGGTTTTACAGGTTAATATCTACAATTTTAGCTCTGACACCGAGCTCTCTTTAGATGCATCCTTCTGATGCAAGCAAACCTTGGCAGATATATACTTCTCCATTGTGTGAATCAGGCCACAACTTCTGCAGATGCGGAGAGTTCTGATGGGACTGTGACTATATTTATTTACAGTAGTCCCTCAAATACCATGAAGTAGGAATAGTAGTACAAGTAGTAGTAGTTATATATATATATATATATAAGTATTTGAACACCCTGCAACTTTGCAAGTTCTCCCACGTGGAAATCATGGAGGGGTCTGAAATTTTCCATCTTAGGTGCATGTCCACTGTGAGAGACATAATCTAAAAAAAAAAATCTGGAAATCACAATGTATGACTTTTTTAAATAATGTATTTGTGTGTTACTGCTGCAAATAAGTATTTGAACACCTGCCAATCAGCAACAATTCTGGTCCTCAAAGACCTGTTAGTCCGACTCTAAAAAGTCCACCTCCACTCCACTTATTATTCTAAATTAGAAGCACCTGTTTGAGGTCGTTAGCTGCATAAAGACATCTGTCCACCCCACACCATCAGTAAGACTCCAACTACTAACATGGCTAAGACCAAAGAGCTGTCCAAAGACACAGAGACAAAATTGTAGACCTCCACAAGGCTGGAAAGGGCTATGGGGCAATTGCCAAGCAGCTTGGTGAAAAAAGATCAACTGTTGGAGCAATTATTAGAAAATGGAAGAAGCTAAACATGACTGTCAATCTCCCTCAGACTGGGGCTCCATGCAAGATCTCACCTCGTGGCGTATCAGTGATCCTAAGAAAGGTGAGGAATCAGTCCAGAACTACACGGGAGGAGCTGGTCAATGACCTGAAGAGAGCTGGCACCACTGTTTCCAAGGTTACTGTGGGTAATACACTAAGACGTCATAGTTTAAAATCATGCATGGCACGGAAGGTTCCCCTGCTTAAATCAGAACACGTCCAGACCCATCTTAAGTTTGACCATGACCATTTGGATGATCCAGAGGAGTCATGGGAGAAAGTTCTGTGGTCAGATGAGACCAAAATAGAACATTTTGGTCTTAATTCCACTCGCTGTGTTTGAAGGACAAAGAATGATGAGTACCATCCCAAAAACACCATCCCTACTGTGAAGCATGGGGGTGGAAGCATCATGCTTTGGGGGTGTTTTTCTGCACATGGGACAGGACGACTGCACTGTATTAAGGAGAGGATGACCGGAGCCGTGTATTGCGAGATTTTGGGGAACAACCTCTTTCCCTCAGTTACAGCATTGAAGATGGGTCGTGGCTGGGTCTTCCAACATGACAATGACCCGAAGCACACAGCCAGGAGAACCAAGGAGTGGCTCCGTAAGAAGCATATCAAGGTTCTGGAGTGGCCTAGCCAGTCTCCAGACCTAAACCCTATAGAAAATCTTTGGAGGGAGCTCAAACTCCGTGTTTCTCAGCAACAGCCCAGAAACCTGGCTGATCTAGAGAAGATCTGTGTGGAGCAATGGGCCGAAATCTCTGTTGCAGTGTGTGCACACCTGGAGAAAAACTACAGGAAACGTTTAACATCTGTAATTGCAAACAAAAGCTACTGTACCAAATATTAACATTGATTTTCACAGGTGTTCAAATACTTATTTGCAGCAGTAACACACAAATTATTTAAAAATCATACATTGTGATCTCCTGATTTATTTATTTTTTTTAGATTATGTCTCTCACAGTGGACATGCTCCTAAGATGAAAATTTCATTCTAAACAATGTTTCTAAACTCTAAAAGAGCACAGCCTGACTCCAGCTGCACTCTGCCACCTGCCAGCACTCTCGGCCACGCCCATTTCTTTGCTGCAGAGCGGAGATATGACACGCTGCAGGAGGAAGCTTATCCTGCAGTTGTGGGCTGTACACAGGTGCAGAAGGTGCTAAATAATTTTAAATAATTTATTTTAAATAAAAATTCCAAGCCAGCTCATCCATCAATCAGCCAATTGTGTCAAGACCAATCTTACTGTGAAAAAACGCGAGCGAGTCCGTGAAAAACGAACCGCCAAGTAGCGAGGAACTACTGTATTCCTTAATACTTGATATTTCTTTATTGCCTTTATAATAAGTCACCCCAAAAGACAGCAGGCTTACTGAGTTTACCATAATTTTAGAAAATTTGCTACATCTGAACAGAAGCATCAGATCAGACAACATGGAGTCAAATCACTCAAAGATTCAAAATGTTTTCAAAACAACAGATGTAAACGGGCACTTTGAGGCCATCTCCAATAGAGTTACAGTCCCTTTCAGGGTTAGAATGTGAAAACATCAATGTGTTAGGGAAATTCAAAGGTCAAAAATAACTGTTGGTTTACCAGGAAAAATAAAAACTTAACATGCATGACCTGGGTTATGAGGTCACAAGGTTATCACTTAAAATATTACTGACTCTGATTTTAAAGCAGATGGAAAAAAAGAACAGAAAAATTTTACACATTATTTTCTGGCACAATGAATGAATAGTCCCAGCTTTATTTGTGTGTACACACCATTTCCCAGAGTGTATTTTATTACCTCTTCATCCTCCAAACTCGTCAGATCCCAGGTATGCCTCAGACACATCTGTCGCCTTTTCCATTGCTCAAGAAACCACGCTGCTGCAAGAGTCAACACAACAAGAAAACTGATGGAAATCATAGAATATAAAACAAATGGTTCTATTTAATGATTTTATATGACATTTTAAAATCAAACTTTAGTAAAAAATTTTGATGAGACAAAAAATGAAGCAATTTAAGAAGTTGTTGTTCATCTGCCTCAGTGAGCCTTAAGATGGCAACATCTGACTAAAACTGTATTCATGAAAGCTTTGGAGAGCAGCACCCGCAGTTCAGTTCTGGTTGCCTCTTGTCTTACCACTTAAACTTCTAACAGTATAAAATTTCATTATTTTTCTGAAAGACAGTTGCAACATTATAGCCAATGTTGTTTTTCTATACAGTAACTAGTGTGTAAATAATATTAATAAATATTTCTACATAGCCAATCTGTTGGGCAGAAACCCATGTCAAAAAATCCTCAACAATACAGGAATTGTAAAAACAACAACAACCAAAAAACAACCAAAAACAAAATGATAACATGTTAATATATATTAAAATATTGCCTCCTCCTTGAATCACCACCTTATCGTGGTGGAGGAGTTTGTGCACATGATGAATAGGAGCTATGCTGTCGGGGCTAATTGTAATTGCCCCTGGTAGAGTCTCCCAAGGCAGGCTGGTCCAATGTGACAGGCCAAACAGAGTGATTTCAACTCAAATGGACTCAAATGGACAAAAATCAGCAAGGATAACAGTGTCCCTTGCCTGGACATGGTTACTGGGGCCTCACCCTGGAGCCAGGCCTGGGTGAGGGGCTTGTTGGTGAACCGACCGGGTCTCTCTCCACTCATGGGGCTCGGTCAGGCTCAGCCCAAATAAAAAACAGAGTTGCCTTCCTGCAGACCCACCATCAGTAGAAGGGGCCATATGAGTCAGGTGTATGACTCCATGGGCACTGACCAAATGCAGGAGCCTTGACGCTCTGACCCTGGCTAACCAAAGATGGCTCTTGGGACATGGAATGTAACCTCTCTGGCGAGGATGGAGTCTGAGCTTGTGTGTGAGGTTGAGAAATACCGACTAGATATAGCAGGGGTCACCTCGAGGCACAGCATGAGCTCCTTAACTAATCTTCTTGAGAGGGGCTGGACCTTATTCCACTCAGGAGTTTCCAATGGTGAGGGGTGCCGAGCTGGTATGGGTCTACTCTTAAGACTGCAGTATACTCGCGCATCCAGTCAGCCACACGGAAACTGTGCACACTGTGCGCAGAGGGTTGAGACTTCATACTCAAACGTCCGCCCTGAGCGACTGCTGTCAGCTCCACAGACAAGGGGTGTTTACTTTCAGGACAAATTGAGGTCACTGACTGGTCATTTGCTGACACGCCTACTGGATTGATTGAGGTTGCAAAAAAAAAAAAACAACAAAAAAGCGAGAGCTGGCAGCCCCAGCCGCAGCAGCGTTCTGTTTATATGTTGTTAATAAAAAGTTATTTAAAAACTTTTAAAAAAAACAGAGAGCACTGGCCTTGCAGTCCACACATCAGACCAGACCACTAGAAAATTTCCAGACTCTCCCGCAGCCACACTGGACCCGATTTTAATTTGCTCGTGACAAATTCCTTCATTTCTCACCATTTCAGTCATGGCGTCAACAGAGGAGGAGGAAGAGATTGCTTGCCTTTTGGCAAAAACAAAAAAAAACAAAAGAAAAGGCCAGATGAGGGATAAAGAAGGGGAATTTAATACAACGGTGTCTCATACAAAACAGTCCATCGCTGGGCAGTTTATTGTGCGACATGGAGTACGCGTATGCGGTCGTAAAAATTGAGTTTTGCACGGACATGCCCTGTGGGCGTCCGCTTCGACTCTAACCAGATACGCGCAGAACTCCACGGACCCACGTACATGCAAGTATGCTGGAGGCTTTAGTCCCCTGTGTTGGTGACTGTGTGTTGGAATTTTTTTTGTTTGTTTTGGACACCTGGGTGAAGAGAGGAGCCGAGCTGTCAACGGACCACCATCTGGTAGTGAGTTGGATCTGATGGTGGAGGGAGATGCTGGACAGACCCACTAGAACCAAATTTGAAGTGATGGTTTATTGGGAACGCCTGACAAAAGAACCCATCAGAAAGATCTTCAACTCACACATCCGAGAGAGCTTTAAACCATATCCCAGATGAGGTGAGGGACACGGAGTCAGAGTGGGCCATGTTCTGCACCTCAATTGTTGAGGGGGCAGCCTTGAGTTGCGGTGGCCATCCTTGAACTCAGTGGTGGACACCCCGGGTCAGGGAGGCTGTCAAGCTGAAGAAGGAGTCCTATCGGGCCTTGGTGGGTGGTGGGACTCCAGAGGCAGCTGAGGAGTACCAAAGGGCCAAGCAAGCCACAGCCTTGGCTGTTGCTGAGGCAAAAGCTTGGATGTGGGAGGAGTTTGGTTGAGGCCTTAGAAAGAGACTATTGGCTCAGAGGAGATTCTGGGAAACCATCAGGTGGCTTTGGCAGCGCTTTACCAACACTGTGTTCAGTGAAAGCAAGGGGCTGTTGACCTCAACCAGTGATGTTGTCAGGAGATGGAAGGAGTACTTCTCATACCTTCTCAATCCTATGGGCATGTCTTCTACGAAGGAAGCCGAGCTGGGGGACTTCGAGGTTGATCTGTCCATAACCGTGGCTTAGATCGTCATGGTAGTTAAAAGCTCTACGATGGCAGGGCTCCAGGGATGGATGAGATCCGCCCTGATTTCTTTAAGGCTCTGAATTTTGTAGGACTGTATTGGTTGACATGCCTTTACAACATCACATGGACATCGCGGGCAGTGCCACTGAATTGGCAGATGGGTGGTGGTTCCCCTTTTTAAAAAGTGGGACCAGAGGGTCTGCTCCAATTATATGGGCATCACTCTCCTTAGCCTCCCTGGTAAGGTCTATTCAGGGAAAATGGAGAAACGAATCCGATCGTTGGTTGAACCTCAGATTCAGGAGGAAAAATGCGGGTTCCGTGCTGGATGTGAAACACTAGACCAGTTCTTTACGCTCACTAGGATCCTCGAGGGGTTATGAGAGTTTCCCCATCCAGTCTACATGTGTTTTGTGGACTTAGATAAGGCGTTTGACCATGTCCCTCAGGGTACACTCTGCGTGTGTGTGGGTAGTGGGGCTCCACGAGTATAGGATTGGGTGCCCGTTGCTACAAGCTGTTGGATCCCCATTTTATTTTTATTACACCTTTATTTAACCAGATAAAAACCCATTGAGATCAAGACCTCTTTCACAAGGGTGACCTGGCCAAGAACAAGCAGCAGCAGTACATGTCATAAAAAAACAAAACAAGTAGCAAGATTATACTATACTATACAAGCGGTGCCAGAGTTTGGTTTGCATTGCCCACAGTAAGTCAGACTCCTTCAGGGTGGGAGTTGAACTCTGTTGTCACAGATTTTGTTCATAACTTTTGAGGACAGAATTTCTTGGTGCAGCCACGGGGCGGAGGGAGTCCGGTTCAGTGGCCTCAGGATTCCATCTCTGCTATTTGCAGATGATGTGGTCCTGTTGGTGTCATCATGCCGTTATCTTCAGAACTCACTGGAGTGGTTTACAGCCAAGTGTGAAATGGCTGGGATGAGGATCAGCACCTCCAAATCTGAGGCCATGGTCCTCAGTCGGAAAAGGGTGGATTGCTCTCTTCAGGTCGAGGGTGAGGTTCTGCCTCAAGTGGAGGAGTTCAAGTACCTTGGGGTTTTGTTCATGAGTGAGGGGAGAATGGAGCACGAGATTGACAATCGGATTGATGCAGTGTCAGCAGTATTGTGGATTCGGTCTGTTGTGGTAAAGAAAGAGCTGAGCTATAAGGCAAAGCTCTCAGTTTACCCATTGGTCTCCCACCCTCACCTATGGCCACAAACTCTGGGTAGTGACCGAAAGAACGAGATCACAAATACAGGTGGTTGAAATTGGTTTTCTCCGCACGGTAGCTGTACTCTCTCTTAATAGATGGGTTGAGAAGTTTAGTTATCTGGAAGAGACTTGTAGTAGAACTGCTGCTGAGGTGATATGGGCATCTAGTAAGGATGTTTGTTCCTTAGGTGCATCCCTAGGGATGTGCTTCCCGCATGTCTGACTGGGAGGAGACCCCAGGCAAGACTCAGGACAAGCTGGGGAGACTATGTCTTTTGGTTGGCCTGGGAATGCCTTGGAATCCTTCTAAAAAAGCTGGAAGAGGTGGCTGAAGAAAAATATGCCTGAGCCTCCCTGCTCAAGCTATTGCCCCCGTGACCTGACTTCTGAATAAGCGGAAGATAATAGATGAATGGATGGATATAATATTGCTTTGGTATCACTGTTTTTAGAATGACGGTGCCAGAAGCAGATGGGTAGACACGCTTATCATCTCCCCCCTAAGAAACCTTGAAAATGTTTTGCTTTCCTCCCTGGACTCAGATGGATTCAGTTGGTTCTGATAACACTAAGCTGAGCCTTGATGAGTTTTGTAAAACTAACTATTTCATTTCAGGAAGTTAGAACAGACCAAAACTACCTAGGCAGAGCAATGCATTAAAAGTTTTGTACTTGCTTGTACAGTACATTGACTTTCTGTGAGACTGACTGTTCTCCAAAGCTTTGTACTGCATTAAACTTGACGAAGACTACACATGATTGTGAATTTGTTTTTTTCTACAACAATCTGCTATTTCCAAATGTGCTGAAATGGTTTTACTTACACTGACAGCAATTCTTTCTTAATTTATTTGTATACCTGCTTTAAACAACCACTCATTTACAAAATGGTACTGAGGAAAACCTGTGTTGAAATGTACTTTTCATGCTGTATCATTATGAGGAAAGTGTACTGTCAGCGTGTCAATTTACCCCACAGAGACATGAAAATAGCAAAGAGGACAGTAGCTCCATTGTCGAACAGGTATGTGGCTCGGGCCAGAGAACACACTGTACTCAGTTGCCAATAGTCACACACAGCATCACACAGTGGACACATTGTGATGTTCAGGTTTTCATCACATGTCTCCTGACTGAAATATGCAGGTGAAAACACATGGGAAATATTATTTTGATATATAAAATGGTAACTTCAATGACTAAAATAAATAACTTTGGACAGTCTACTCACCTTGGCACGTTGGTATCTACAGTAAATATGCCGTACAGGAAGACAATGATGCCCAGCACAGAGGGAGGGATAAGGAGCTGAGTATAAACACCCAGCCAGGCAAAATACAACCCAATCTGCTCTCCAAAGTACTTCCTGCAAACAAGAAAAAGCACACAAACTATATGCCTGGGTTTGCAGATTTTAATCATTGACTTAAACCATTAGGCCATTTTATAAACCTAAATCTTGAATTAAGTGTTAAAAACAAACAATATAAAGTCTTCATTCTGAGAGAACATTACGTTTGGCTTGAACATTATAGGTGTTGTTGTACTGGTCTAAAACTGAAATAAACCTTTTGATCACCATTATTTATTTTGGTATTTATGTCCATGTTTACCACAGCACTCAAAAACTCAAATCATTTAGATTAATACTGTAGCTTAGTACCTGATCAGATCGACAGGCTGATATTTGAACATGACCCCATAGTTGGCCCATTCTTCATGGAGGATCTGAAAAACCACCAAACGCATTACACACATCACACTGATTTAGAGTTAAAAAAACAACAAGCAAACTGTCTTTTAATTGATTGTTGGCACAAAGATCATTATGTTGTGCTGAATTTTATGGTGAGATGAACCTTGTGCATGATTGCTAGCCTTAAAAAATTGCCTGGGAATGTTTCTTCATTCAAAGGTAGAGCACGGCAGGACAAGTTCAAGACTCACTGCTATAAACATCCAACATATTTAATGTATGTGTAGCCATTTTTAGAGGTCTGAAACGGAGTATTGTTGACAAAATTACAAATTTCCATTAGTAAACAACTTAAAGCGATGAAGACCAACTGATGATGATGGGCTTCCCAGTTCCATTTTAATGCAAATGAAACTGTAGATTCTGGGGGTTCCTCTGACTGATGAAGTTTTTTGGATGAAAAATGAAATGTTTCAACAAAAAGAAACTGTCCAGAGGACCTGACTTAACTTTGTTGGATTTTTTACATGGATTATTGAGCATGAACTTTGATGAAACTGTAGATTGTTAATGTCTAACAAGAATGAAATGTGTCACCTTGACTGGCTCCTTTAAACAAGTCCTACTGGTTAGTCATTTTTAAAAGCAAAATCAGAAGTCAGTCAACTTACCTGTCTGTCATTTAGCTGATCTTTGCGTCCTCTTCTTGTGAATGACCCCTAAAGAAAAGAGGGACCAGTTCTTTGCATGAGACACACCAGCTTACTAATCTTTTCTCATATTAACAATAGCAGAAGTTCAGTCAGCACACAGTGCTAGTTGTCTATAAATTTGCAAGAAAATATTTGGTGACAGAATGAATGAGTGGGAGTGTTCACATTGGGCAGGACACACTGACTGAACAGTCAAGGAACTTGGATTTGACAGAATGTGGCCAGGACATACTCTATGGCTATCTGAAATAATGCAAAGCACCATACAAGCCTTTGTAGTCAACGCTTTGCTTTTGTAAAAAAAAAGTATTTTAACAGCTGCTGGACTGCATTGAACTAAACTGAACTGCTTGCATTGGACCTGAAGATAAACCAGGTTGGATTAATTGCACTGAATATAACTGGATTCAATGTGGACTGCACTTATTCCAAATTATTTAAACTGAAATGCAAACAGATTTTAATTGGACCCATTTACTGTTTTGCAAACACAAAAGAGTGAGTACACCAGTAAAGCTCCAGCTTGTGTTTTACTCACATCATGAAGAGAGAAGGCAGAGTCATAAACACCCTGAGCCAGTAACGAATGGATGCCTTAACACAAAAAGGAAACGTACCACAAATTCAGTTTGACATCATTGACAACAGAAAGACATCAAGTGTTTCTACAATATTAACAAAAATTGATTTTTAATGAAGATGAACCTCACCAGCAGTTTGACATGTGCGAGTGCAGGTAGTGCGTGAAATAATCTCAGCAACCTACAAACACACATAGCATTGTAAAGCAAAGGACGAGAAACCCTGATGATACTGTATAAAGTGAATTAAACAATCAATATTATTCACAGAAGCTTTTATTGAAGATCTTATCCTATAAACTCACTATTCTGCTTCGTGTTGCATTGTCAAACAAAGTTGCTGTGGAGTTGATATCATACCTGCAGAAAATTACAAAAAACAAAAACTATTTTAACCCAGGTATTACAAGTTGATATATTTCACACTACTATATTTAAATAATGTACAGCAGTCCCTCGCTACTTTGCGGTTCGTTTATCACGGACTCGCTCTATTGCGGTTTTTCAAAATAAGATTGGACATGACACACAATTGGCTGATTGATGGATGAGTCGCACGATCGGCATGGAATTTTTATTGAAAATAAATTTTAAATTATTTAGCACCTGCTGCACATTTGTGCAGCCCACAACTTCAGAAAAAGCTTCCTCCTGCAGTTTTGTGCAGCCCATACTGCAGGATAAACTTCCTCCTGCAGCTGATCAGCTGCAGAGGAGAAGTGGGCGTGGCCAAGAGTGCTTGCACTGGCAAAGAGCAGAGAAGACAGGGAGCTGAAATCATGACATTCTGCGCTCTTTTAGAGTGTTTAGAGTGTAGAAACATTGTTTAGAATATTGCAAAAGTGTAGGAAGGGTTTAAAACATCTATATATATTTTTTTTTTTAATTATTATTATTATTACTTATTTATTTATTTAAATAATAAAATAAACTACTACTTACTACTTGTACTAATATTCCTACTTTGCAGTTTTCCACTTATCGCTTGTCTTCAGAGTACGGATACCCCGTGATAAACGAGGGACTACTGTATATGTAAATAATTTATGTCACAGCCACGTCTTCTCATACAAGAATAAATAAGAAAATTCTTTGGTGTAATTCAGATATTATCCAAGTTTAACTGAATTAAATATTATGTGGATCCAAATTAAGCCATCCTGTAGGTTTTCTTTTGTAAAACATTTCCCTTCATGTGCAAGAGGCAGCTCGTACTCACAGGTGGAGTTTATCTCTGATGAAAGGGTGCTTGAGTGTTTTGAAACGGATGCGTGACTGCGAGTCTCTGTGGATGTCAATGTCGGGAACATCAGGCTGAAACGGTTTGTTCAGTTTGGCAACAACAGAGTCCCACATTCCAGCGATGCCAGTCCGTTTCCGCAATTCACATTTCTGTTCAATAGAAACATTCATAAAAATGTTTTGATTGAAGCTATATTCTGATTACACTGAGTTTGTCTAATTTTAAGTATAGTCCCTTTTGCTGCAAACAGAGTTGTGACCAGTCAGTTAATTGACAAAGAATCATTAAGTGAAATCTCTTTAAAAGTGACTATCGTTAAAATAATGCCACTAAATTAGTATATGGGAAGTTTGGAGAATAGGCAAACATGTTAAAAATATTTCTTATGTTCTATGAGTCAGTAGTAAAAGAATATATAGAGAACAACTGCAGAGGAATGATGAAGAGGTCAGTGGAAGGATAAAGGTTTCCCAGAATAACAAAGCCTTTTAACAACATGAATAGTGTCTAACTGTCTTATCAAAATGTTATGGCTGAGGTGTGCATATCTCATTTGTTTAAAGAAACGTCTGCAATACAAGAATATATACAATCCTAAAGAATAACAGAACTTACCTTTTTCACAGCTACTTTAATCTTCTGTAGCTCTGCTTCACGACTGAGTATTGACCATGGGATGTGTAGCCGAATGAACCCTAAACCGTTTGCCCTCTGCACAATAAACATTAACACAGAGTAATAAGAAACAGAAAGATGGAAGACATTTCGATACAGATGGTATGCCTGCATGACCCTGTTCAGGGTCACAAGGAGCTGGTGTCTATTTTGAGCAGTCATTGTGTGAGAGGTATGGTACATCCCAGTCTACAGTCCATTAAAGCGCTACATAGTCACACTCCTGCCTAGAACAATGAAGTTTTGCTAATCTTATATGCATGTTTATGGGCTGTGAAAGAAAACCAGAGTGCACAGATAAAACCCCCAAACACTGGGAAATTACGCAAACTCAACTCAGAAAAGTCCAGAGTTGAACCTAGGATCGTATTGTTGTGAGGCAACAAACTAACCAATGCTGGAAACTAACCAATGCATCACAAGTCATGCAACCTTGTTATATCCGTTATATCCATCCATCTATCCATCATTCGTGGCTCAATGAGACTACCTGCATAAATAAAGGATAAATGAACAAAATGTGTTGATTAATCCAGAGTCAAACCATAGCACCATGTGGTGAAGATGGAGCTATGCTGCAAGACAAAAGCTCTCAGTTTACCAGTTGATCTACGTTACTACCCACACCTATGGTCACAAACTCTGGGTAGTGACCAGAATAGAGTACACAATACTGCAGAAGTCGCACAGATCCGACTATCATTCTTGAGCTTCATTCTTCTCTTGCTTTGTGATATTACTCGTTATATTCAGCTTTAGTAAAATAAAATAAAGAAAATGTTACAGCGCATATTACTTAGCACCTCAATGTTCAAGCAACTATTCAGAAACATCACAAACGTATTCTGATTCAGGGCATAACTTTCACAGGGCTGCTCGATTATGGATGAAATAAAAAGCAATTATTGTGGTCAATATTGAAATCACAGTTATTGAACAGGATTACTCAGAGTTAGGAAACGATACATTTATTTCTCTTGAAAACAGTGAATTGCCAAATATTTTTTCTTCATGCCTTCTTGTTGAAACTTTTTCTAAAATAATTGATGAGAGTCTAATCAAATGTAGGCTATGGTATAAAATAATAAACAACAAACAGCAAATAAAATCAACATCTCCATTATAAATCATTTTTATGAAGTTTTATGACGTAATCACACTTGGTCACCTGTCTTATGTTGGATTATTAAATTTTCAATAATTAAGTGAAAAAAAAAACTTAAATGTGTGAATACCGACAAACTTCCAACAAAAAATACAAAAAATATGACCAATATGTTTACATTTTATAGAACATTTATTGACTTTGTAAGGTGCTTAAAAATCTTCCTTTTAGAAATTTATACATAAAGGTTTTGCAGTATTTTTGTAAAATCAAGTTCCTTGCATGTACCATAATTTTCGGAGTATAAGCCGCTACTTTTTCCACACACTTTGAACACCGTGGCTAATACGGACCCTTTCCAAAAAATTAGAATCATGGAAAAGTTGTTTAACTTCCATAATTCCATTCAAAAAGTTAATCTTTAACAGATGATAGATTCAGGGCCCACAATTTAAACAATTTCAAGTATGTTTATTTTTACATAATTTGGGCTTCCAGCTCATGAAACCCATGAAAACAGGATTTCAGAAAATTAGAATACTGTGAAGAAATCAGCCCACACTACTTCTCAGTTTTTGGAAAAAAAAAAAAAAGAAATTAGGATCACAACAAATCAGTCAAAATATGGTACTTTCAAAACGATATGTCAATCTTCAGTACTTGGTTGGGAATCCCTTTGCCTTAATCACTGCCTCGATGCGACGTGGCATCGAGACAATCACTCTGTGGCATTGCCTGAGAGTTATGGAAGCCCAGATTTCTTTGATGCTGTCAGCTCTTCTTTGTTGTTGGGTCTGGTGCCCGTCATTTTCCTCTTGAGAATACCCCATAGTGGGGTTTAGGTCCAGCAAGTTGACTGGCCAGTCATGCACTGTGGCATGGGCATCAAACCAGGTTTTGGTGCTTCTGGCGGCATGGGCAGGGGCCAGGTCCTGCTGGAAAATGAAATCTGCATCTCAATACACACTGTCAGCAGAAGGAATCATGAAGTCCTCTAAAACATTCTGGTCGTCTGTTGCGGTGAACTTGGATTTAAGAAAGCAGAGTTTACCAACACCTGCACCGGACATTGCACCCCAAATCATGACTGACTGTGGATATTTCACACTGACCTCAAGCAGTATGGGCTCTGTTCCTCACACTTCTTCCTCCAAACCCTTGGACCTTGATTTCCGAATGAAAGGCACACTTTACTTTCATCGGAAAAGAGGACTGAGGAACCCAACAGTTGGAGCCCATCTCCCGGATGCGTCTGAATATGGAGGTTTTTGAAGCTGTGACTCCCACCTCATTCCACTCTTTCTGAATCTCTGCCAGATTCTGGAATCTTCTCTGTTTGATAATCCGCTGAAGCCCATGGTCATCTCTTTTGCTGGTGCATCTTCTCCTGTCACATTTTGTCCTTCCACTAGACTTCCCATTGATATGCTTGGACACAGCACTCTGTGAACAGCCAGCCTCCTTAGCTATGAACTTTTGTGGCTTACCCATCCTATGGAGGGTATCAATGATGGTCTTCTGACCAGTTATGTCAGCAGTCTTCCCCATATTGAACCGAACTGAGCCAATTGAACCAAACTGAAGCAATTTAATGACACCTGGGGAAGCCTATGCAGGTGCTTTGAGTTTAGTAGAGTTTAAAACATTCATGCCCTGCAACATTTGGGCCGATTTCTCCACAGAATTCTAATTTTTTGAAATCCTGTTTCTGTGGGTTTCATGAGCTGGAAGCCCAAATTATGGCTGAGGCTGCCTGCCGGGGAGGAGTCGATGGGGGACAGGATGGCACCCAGAAACCATCTTATCTCCAGCAAACTGGTTGGTCCACTATTGGAATATTTAGTTTGGAAAGTTACTTCAGCCTCTTTTAGCCTTACTCTGGGTCATTAGCCTCCTACACAAAAAGTTATTGAAAAGACTGCATGAATCTAAAATTCCCACTTTAATGTCTTAAAATTTTAGATTTAATATGGTTTAAAATTAATGATACTGTGTTCTCTTTGACTTCCTCATGATGATGTTTAGGACACTGCTGTCTCTCATACTTGTTTTGTTCAGAGACTTGATTTGTTTTTTTGTTTTTTTTACTGGAAACTTTTCTGAACAGCTTTCAGCTGATATGACCCAAAGTTACCAGACTTTCAGGTGAGGCTTCAACAAAATGGTCATACATTAAGCTACAAATTTCATTTCTGCCAACGAGCATATAAATTAGTTTGCCTCTGTTTGTTCTGATCATCATGTTTTTGCCTTCGCATAGGTGCTGAAAATTTGTTTACCCAAATCATAGAAGTTAAGATATTTTTCTGCTTTATACTTTGAAACTGAATTATAAAACTGAATTAATTACACATTGCTAATGGGCACTCTCTTCTAACCATAAAATATAGAAGAGATTTTAATGTAACCCCAGAGTTTATTGTTTTGCCAGCAAACGCACTGCTGAACAGTGAATCATTTTCCTAGAAGGTCTTGTAATCCAGCTTTTGGCTCAAGTTACTTACAGTCAGCGTTTTTAATCTGCAACCAAAGCAGCAGCTGATTTAACACACAAGCAAATGCACAAAGAAAACAACACAAACAAGGCCAAGCCATGCACAGACACTGACATTTAAAGAATAGAAAAACACACACTTGCTATAAAGTAAAAGATTAAAAACAAGCAACAGATAAACTATAGATGCATACCTCTTTGTCTCGCTCAATCTGTAGTCCGGCCTCAAGCAGTCCTGCTTCAAACTCCTCCCTCATTAAAACCTTTTCCTCCTCAGACAACTTTGACTCTTCTGAGTCTCCTGCAGCAGCACTGGACACACCAGACTCCGCTTCAGTTTCCAACCGTAATGGTATCATCAGAGGAACAGTCCCGTTGGACGAAATGGAAAGGCGTCCCCTAGATGAACGCCTTTTTTTGTATTTGTAGCAAAGCACATAATCCACTTTCCTCTTGCCATCAGCAAAAAAAAGCCCAGGTCCCAGATCGATCCCAGACTCCTAACAAAAACAGACACAGGCAATTTTTTTAACTTAATTGAAATTCAGTGTAGAATGCTGCATTAAAGGATGACTGTTTAACACTTGAGATGTGTTTTAGGTGAATATTTGTGTCCTTACTGGGGGTGGGGGCTCGTTATCCTCAGGGGGGTTGACATGGCCTCCATTGGAAGGATCGAGTCCATATCCAGACAGTGATCGGGCCAATGAAACTAGCGTCGCTGAGTGAAGAGTCGATGACTCACTCATTGCTGTGATGAAGGCTGTTCGTCCTTTTTCGTTTCATCCCTCTGGTAAATCAAAATGAAAGCACATTATACACTCATCTACAAACTATTATACAGCAATCTACAGCAACAGCCCAGACAAGCAAACACCTAGCAATAACCTTTGACCTTGATTTGAGACCTTGACCTTGAAGCTGGGATTATGAAAAGTGTGCAACACTCCGTCTAGCAATGATGCATGTGTGTGTGAAGGAGTTAAGGGCAGGACAAGAGAAAGTTTACGGACAAACGGATGTACGGACAGATAGACATTATTCTATTCAATACGTTTGCCTTTTGATGGGTGAATAAAAATAAAAAGTAAAACAGTTAAACACTGGTTGCATGAAGATAATCTGAAAATTCTAAATGTAATCAATAAATGTTTTCTATTACAGAACCTAAAATTTGATTTGTCTTTTTTTATGTATGTAACAATTAGTGACTTTGGTCTTTAAAAGTTGAAACAACTTTGTAACAGTAAATTTGTATAAATATAACAAAATAATAACAGATTATATTTGATAACAACAGAGAAATCTGTTATGGTTCTCATTATATATTTAATAACCAATAAACAGATTTTTAAGACTTATTTCCAGGGGTAGGGATCCCAACAGCCATATTAGCTGTCAAACTATGCCATTTTCAAAGTTTTTTATTTTAAATTTCTGTGTATGGGTATGCCTGTTGCTTCATTTATTGGTTTTATCATGCAGCACTGTGTCACAAGTGGTAGAGATGTTGCCTCTCAGCGAGCAGGTCCCCGATTCAAATCCAGGTCCAGGGGGCCTTTCTGGGTGGAGTTTGCATGTTCTCTCCGTGCATGCGTGGGTTTTCTCCGGGTGCTCCGGTTTCCTCCCACAGATCAAAAACATGCATGTTAGGCTGATTGGTAACTCTAAATTGTGTCTAGGTGTGAGTGAGAGAGTGAATGGTTGTTTGTCTCCATGTGTCCCTGTCATGGACTTGCGACCTGTCCAGGGTGTACCCCGCCCCTCGCACAGTGATTCCTGGACATGGGCACCAGCGACCCTCGTGACCCAAAATGGAAGAAGCGGGTAAAAGATAATGGATGGCTGGCTGGATAGTTTTATTGTTTCCTTGTGTCTCTCTCTTTCTGAAGACACAGGATGACAACTCAATTCCAGTGCTATTCATTGACCCCTCCCTCTCGCTTTTCGCTTTAAAATCCATTTTAACGATCCAAAATCGTGTTTTTGGATTGTTACAAGCAGCTAAGCTGAGAAGCTAAGCTATGAACCAAGTTAACAGGCCGACCATGGGGAAAAAAACTCTGTCTTGTCGAAGCTCCAGAATTCATGGTTGAAACCCGTGCCTTTGTGTAAAAAGTTTTTCTCAGCAAAAAGAAGCTGAGAACTTGTTTACTGATTTTTTTTTTAATTAAAAGCTTTGTGTGACAAATGCTGTGCTAAAGATCTCAAACCACACCTAGCGTCCGCCATTTTGAGAACTGAAGAGAAACAGCCCATGTCACGTCAAGGGGCCTGCCTCCCATTTTTCTTAAAGATACACACTGCTCGCTCCCTCACTATCCATCCTTTGGTTTAAACCATCTTATACTGCCATCTGGTGGTCAAAAAAGGTACTATATGTAAAACTAATTAAACATTTCTTCTTAAATTTTACAATATTTACTAATTATTGTCAAATTTCAAACAATATTATTGTTTATCACAATAAATTCAGAGACAATTAATCGCCCAGCAAAATTTGTTATCGTGACAGGTATGGGTATCATTTGTGATAAAAACAATTATTAAATATGCATCATTTACTACAAAATTTGACCACATCATTTGTAATAAATAGACTAAATCTTCAGACTCATGTTTTGTCGCCAACAATTACGAGTCTTTTGATTACATTTGAATGTTGACGAGTGCACTTCAGAGAGTTTCAGCAAGCAACTGCATTGAGTGGGAAAAACAATTCCCGAATGGAAACAATTAAAGGGAGAACAATGGAACAATAGAGGCCGGGCTGAAAGAGAAGGTAAATTTATTCTGGCTTCTTAAAAGAACCAGAGTCGTCAGAAGTAGTGATTTGGGAGGAGAAAAATCAAGCAGTCAAGAACGTTGAAGCAAAAGCTGCTGCTAAGATCATATGCAAATGAGCTGTGCTGAGGTATTCTGAACAACTTCTGTCACAAATGATTATCACCAAAAAACAACAACAACAACAACAACAACAACAACAACAGATCAGTTGAAGTTACAGAACCCTATAAACAACGCTTTAATTTTGTAAAGATTATGTCAAAGCATCAAAACATGAAAATGTGTGTATTTTGAAAGTTAATACGGCTTAAAGTATTTTTCAAACAATACTGAAATGTTTGTGTGAAGAACTTGTCTAGACTGAAAAATCTATTTGAAAAATTAAGCTGTCTGTATTTTCACTCAAAGCTAGATCAGATTAAGTGTACATTGATATCTAGGCAAACAAGGGTTACAATCTTTTGGGATTATTTGGTCACTGGGCTCAATTTATGTGTACGGACATTAATATATTTAATATATGGCACACAAAAACCTTTCTAAAAGTCAAATTGTAGTCTCTCAAAGATTCAGTGCTCAGAAATATTTAATATTTTTAGAGCATGTATTTCTTTATTTCTTTATATAAATTTGGACTGATCGGGTTGTATTAGATTATTCATGCTGTGTAAATGCTTTACTAATGTTTTAAGTAAACGAACAACTAATCTTTCCAGTATAACAATTCACTAAAATCACTAAAACTAGGATAAGAAGTGGCTGTATATAATTTACAACCCCAATGGTGCCAGATCTACTGTAAATATAATCTACTCACTTAACACGCCAGGAAAATCTCTCTAACATGTAAACACACCACAGCTCAGACAAGCTGCATGCAGACAACATGCAAAGGGCTTTAGCAGTCAATCCTTTTACACATGTGCACCAACATCCCTGATAATTCCAGGTAACCAAGTAATGGCATCTCTGAGCCAAGATGCAAAAGAAGAAGAATTGTCCTTGGAGCAATGGGGTTTATTTTTATCGGTGATTTTAAACATGTAAGCGGTCTTCCTTTAAACCAGTTGTACAGATTTTGACAGATACATTTTTTTTTCATCAGCACACCAAAATAATGCATCATGATGCCAGTTTTCTATCATGATTAATATGGTGATATGTTGCATCTGTTAATTTCTATCCTCAGTCCCTGGCGTTTTGGTATCGACATTTATAACCTGTGATTGCTAAGCATTATTACAGCTGAAACTAAACACAAGTTGTCTTAAATTTCTAAGGATTACATTAGTTTGTTTTTCAGTACTACTTTCAGGAACTTTCACAATATATTTCTCAAGAATATGCTGTTTAAAATTGAAATTTTAAAAAGTGTATTTCATTTTTCTAGTACTGTATTGCCAAATTTAGGTGCATATTGTTTTAAGGTTATACATAAACTAGTCAATGAAGTTTCACTTTAAAATTGGTCCATAGCTAATTATTTTTGGCAGAGTTCATTTTGAAAAAGGTGCCAGCTGATCCAAAATGCTGCTGCAGAACTTCAGGTGAGAAAAAGCAGGAAAAATCATATTTTCTTGATGTGAACATCTCTTTTCTAACCACCTGCTAAATCCAGAATACAACTTCAAATTCTTCTTAGACTTAAATAATTTAACGAGAAAGCTCCATCGTGTTGTTAAGATCTCAAAGACATTGACATTTTCTCTCTCTCTCTCTCTCTCTCTCTCTCTCTCAAGGTGTTTTAAACCCTTCCCACACCCTTGCAATATTTTAAACAATGCTTATAAACTCTAAACGCTCTAAAAAGAGCACAGAATGTCATGATTTCTGCTCGCTCCTCCTCTGCTCTTTGCCACACACCTCTCTGTTCTGCACAGTGAACAGCTGATCAGCTGCAGCAGGAAGCTTATCCTACAGTGTGGGCTGCACAAAACTGCAGGAGGAAGCTTTATCTGCAGTTCTGGGCTGCACAATTGTGCAGCAGGTGCTAAATAATTTAAAATAATTTATTTTAAATAAAAATTCCATGCCTATCTTGCGACTTATCCATCAATCAGCCAATTGTGTGTCATGTCCAAACTTATTTTTGAAAAACCGCGATAGAGTGAGCCCGTGATAAACGAACCACGAAGTAGCGAGAGACTACTGGAGTTCCTATAGTGTGGAAAAGTCAAACAGAAGGCAGGTGATTCAGATGTCAGGCTTCTTTCTTCTTGAATCAAACCATCTTTAAGACTTATTTTAGTTTATAAAATAAAGGAGACCCTGACAATGTCTTTAATAATTCTGCTATATTCTGCAGGAGGATGTCCCATTATGTCCCACTTCTAATCAGACTGGCATATACAATTCTAGTCAGTTCCAAAAAAGTTCATCCACTTGTTCTAAAATAGGCAGAGTGGGAAACTGTTTTCCACCCGAGGCTTCCTGAAAACTTTGAGCAATAGATGAAGCATGTCAGGCAGTTCAAGAGCATTATAGGTATTGTGGGAGTGACTACTCCTGCACAATACTTTTTGCGTTGATTTTTTAAATTTTTTAAAGAAAACCGATAGCTCACATTGGTTTATTGATCATTGGAAAATGTTCATTACATTACAGCTTTAGCCAGAATAAACAAAAACCGACTTGTTTTTTTATATTAGGCCAATTTAAAGTCTTCAGTTTACATTAGGCTGCTCTGATTTTAGCCTTTGCAAATTTGAATTCATGTGTTCATAACATTTACTGACTTTGTTTACTTTCTTCATGTCTAACTTTTCAGCAAAGTTTAATGATGGGCACACATATTATGGTTGTTTTCGCATTCCAAAATAAATGGATTCTGTAGACATTGAAGATTAAACAAAATAAAAATTATGCTATTCACTAAATTCAGTGCCTGCTGTAACGTTCTCATCAAACAAAAGTTTTGTGTTTTTTTTACTGAAGGAATAAAAAGAGGCCTAAAAAAGAGAGA